GCATGTAAAAAAAAAAATACTGCAAGAAAATATAAATATATAGATATCTATTTATAATACCTAATTTTCCTGTTAATACATTAGAGATTGGCATTGCAGTTGTAGTACTTGCCAAAGATGACGCAAATGCAACATAACGTGTCTTAAAAAGTTCCAAATGTTTGCTGATTTGTAATAACAGATTCGTCTACGCTCGTTGTAAAGATAATTTTTAGACTTAAAAAAAATTTTTTTTTTCATGAAAAACATTAAATTCTTATCACCTGAAAAGTTAAAGTTGTATCAAGCTTTGAAATCTCGATTTCTAGAGAAAATTTTCTTAAGGCATTTGCATGCGTTCAATAATTGGGTCTAAATAAATAAATTAATATATTATTAAATTTATTCGAGTTGTGTGTATATTATATACTTTAACTAACCTCCGCAAATCGTTTTTGACACTCAAACGCGTGATCGGCTTTAGCATTCAAGAAGCACCATTGTGTCATTCTAGCATTTAACATTGTTAACTCATCGTCTAAGCTAATCGATGATAGTTGACTGATATGAGTTATGATCGATTGTGTCGTTTGTCCAAATTTCTAATAAATAATTAATAAATGATTAATAAATCAGATAAGTATAATTATGCACATATATGACATATGATAAAACTTACACCATATGTATTAGAAGAACCAGTTTCAATCCCAAGAATTTTGTTAGAATTCTTATCTATGAATCATTAAATACTTGTGTGATTAGCCAAATCACCCTCAATTAACATGATAATTTTCTTTTTAAAGTGCGAATAATATATTAGGACACATATAAAGGTAATGCAAGGTTTCCGGAGCGTTAATTACCTTTGTTCTTGTGAGAATTTAATGAACTAAGCCTCTGTGTCGTGTGTTTTCCAGTAGTAGTTGTTTTTTTAGGTTTTAAAATATCTTGCATGAAGCGAGATTCAACCGTACGATCTAGATCATAATAAATATTATTATTAAATATTGAGATTTAATCAATAATAATATTTTAAATACATTTTTTTTTCTTTTTTTTTCGTTGGTCTTCATTCGTAGAAGTAGTAGTCGATACAGAAAATGTTGGAGATGGACATTTTTCCGAAATATCGTCGGCGAATCTAACAGATTTTGGTGTAGACATTTTTCTGAAAAACAAAACAACGCGTTTTTTCGTGATTTAAATTTCGAAATTGCCTTAACAGTTAACGTTAATTGATCAACATCGGCCTGCATGTA